TTTAGTTAGTTATCTTTAATTTTCTGAGACAGCGTCTCACTCTGTCGCCCTGGGTAGAGTGCAATGGCGTGATCATAGCTCACTGCAACCTCAAACTTCTGGGCTCCAGTGATCCTCCTGCCTCAGCCTCCTGAGTGTCTGGGACTACAGATGTGCCCCACCATGGTTGGCTAATTTTTCTATTTTTTGTAGAGATGGGGTGTAGCTATTGTCCAGGCTGGTTTTGAACTCCTGGTCTCAAGCGATCCTCCCCTCTAGACCTCTCAAAGTGCTGGGATTACAGGCATGAGCCTGGCCTGTTGTCCCAATCTTATCATCAGCCATATTTACCTTGAGGGGAGGCCTAGTCTAATCTAAAGGGCGAGTCACAAAAAAATCCATTTTCTTTCAGTTCAATTTAATTCGAGAAGAAAACACTTTCTGAACCTGGCTCCTAATTCCAAGGCTGTGCCCTTGGGGTGGTTTGGCAAGAGTGGGAGAACCAGTTTTTTTTTCCTTGCTTGAGCGCCAGCTATTTGTATGTAAATTGCCCTGGACTAAAGTGTGATAGCTCTTTTTCTGCCTGGAGCCTCCAGTCTGATTTCTTCCATTATGGCTTGTGGGATAAAATAAACCTTAAGTTTTCTGTGAAAGTTAAATGAGCACACGTGAAAGTGTTTTGAAAACCATAAGACCTTTACAACTGGCAGCTATTGTCAGTTTTACCATGAAAAGCATCTTTCAGAAGTTGGATGTTCTTTGGTTATTAAAAAAGATTTATTAGCGCTTTTCTCCAATGTGAGAACAGAAGCTGCCATCAATGTGGTCTACAGTTGGTGAGGTCAACTTTAAGTTAAAATTTGCAATAAAGAGGCTTAGGAAGGAAATATACAACATGCAACTTAATATTCACATTCAGTTTGCAGGTTCCAGGAAGGCAGAATCTGAAGTTCAGGATCGAGGACTGGGTTTCCAGCAGGTTCCCTAGGCACCCTTTACAAAAGGGGAGAAAGCAGACTCTGTGGAGTCAAAAGACCCTGACTCAAGCTCTCTTTGTGTTCTTTTTGCTGTTTGGCCCAACCTGTGTCTTACAATTTTAAGGAGGAACAAGTCTCGGTCAACAAGAAGGACCTTACTATGTGCCAGCTACCCTGTGTTGTAATCAAGTGTTTCTTAGTCCTCATTACACCTCTTCTGTATTGCAATGAGTTCTGACCCTGACAATGTGATGGGAGTGCCATACGACAACGTATCTTCTTAATCACTCCTTTGGTCACCCGCCCTATCTCTGATTTGGAGGTCCAGTCAGGCCTTGCTTCCCCAGCTTTCCAGGAACCTTGGTGTAACAGGTCTAAACTTAGGAAGGACAAACCTTACTGGCATTTCCAAATGCAGCAAACAAAAGAAAACAAAACCCCAAACTGTTGAATCCTTAGTACTTGAAAGCCATAGCCCTTCAGAGCTGACATTTCCAAACTTCTTTATTATAGGAATTAACTACAGAAGGGTAAAGTGGATTTGACCAGGAATCTATCCCATACGTCAAAGGTTAGGTCACTGCTGGCGGGTGCACAGGAGAGACGTGGGAGTGGGAGAGGCAGGAGAGGACAACTTTAAATAGACCCGGTGAAAATAATTTGGGCAGCCTCTTGAGTCCCATACCCAACCCCCTTTTTAGAAAAGATCCTATTTCTGAGACAAAGGCAATATAACATAACTTAGTATTTCCTGAAATTGTAGGGTCCTAAGAGTCGCCCAAGAGTACTTGTTATACACACATTCTCAAGACCCTCCATTCTTCTTCCCTAGGTCTAGGAAGGGATCTGGGGACATGTGTTTTACAAGCACAAGTTGGGGTGTTCTAATAAAAAATAGCAAAATTCAGAATCCCATTTTGTGCAGTCCTTGAGCTGAAAGGTAGCATCGCACCGCCACCATGAATAGACACTCAAGTTATAAAAAATCCTGCCCTCGATATGCGAAAGGAACTTTTTATACAGAAATGTTCCTTCCTCTTTTCCTAATACGTCTTTTAACTGTCATCACTCCTAACCTAGAACTGGAGTGGCTTTTTCCGGCCCCTGCTCTGACAGGGACACGCTCTGCCTCGGGACCCGGTCTACCCAACGCCGCCGTCGGGGGCCAAGTCTCGGTCTCGCGTCTGGCGGGCGCTCCCGTGCCGCGCTCCCATTGGCTGGAAGTTCCCTCGCCCGGAGCCCGAGCGGCCTCTTCTCGCCACGCCAGCCCGGCCAGACTCGGGACCGCCCAGGGGGCGTGGCCCGGGCGGAGGGGCGGGGCCTCGCGGCGCTGCGGACGCCCAGGCGGCGGCCTGTGGCGCGGGTGGGAGTCCCCGGCCGCGCCCCGCGAGGCCGGGCCAATCCCGGGCGACCGGGCGGGCGAACGCCGGGCCTGGCGGGCCAGGCCCGAGGACCTGGGGGCTGGGGACAATGGGCCAGTTCCTGGTGCGTCACGGAGGAGTTCCTTAAAGGGGAAGTGAGCCGGGCTACGGGCCGGGCGCGGGGTGCGGCGGTCGGCGGGGGAGGCCCCCCGCGCTTTAAAATAATGTCCGCGGCGCCCGTGCGACCATGCAATGGCGAGCGCTCGTCCTGGGGCTGGTGCTCCTCCGGCTTGGCCTCCATGGCGTGTTGTGGTTCGTCTTCGGGCTGGGGCCCAGCATGGGCTTCTACCAGCGCTTTCCGCTCAGCTTCGGCTTCCAGCGTCTGAGGGACCCCGACGGCCCCACGTCGCCCGCCTCGGGGCCCTCGGGCCGGCCCGGGACGCGGGGGGCGCCGTCGGGGCCGTCGTGGCTGCAGCCGCCGGGCAGCGGGGCGGCGGCCGGGCAGCGCCGGGCTCCGCGGCGGCCCGGGCCGGGCGTGTGCGGCCCGGCCCACTGGGGCTACGTGCTGGGCGGCCGGGGCCGCGGCCGGGACGAGTACGAGAAGCGCTACAGCCGGGCCTTCCCGCCGCAGCTGCGCGCCCAGATGCGCGACCTGGCGCGGGGCATGTTCGTCTTCGGCTACGACAACTACATGGCGCACGCCTTTCCCCAGGACGAGCTCAACCCCATCCACTGCCGCGGCCGGGGGCCCGACCGCGGGGACCCGTGAGTAGCCCGCGCTTCCCCACGCGCTTCCTTCCGCCCTCCGCGCCGGGGTGCTGCCATCTGTCCTCCGGCTGCCCCGAAGGCTGGCAGGGTCGTTAGGGTCCTGGGGGCAGCGCTGTACCTTGCCTGACTCCCTTTGATGTCCCCCTGGGCTTGAGGGTGCGTGGGTGGGCCGGTGGCTGTCCTGTGTCTTGGTTCTCCGGGAATCTCTGAACTTCAGAACAGCTGTCCAGCTCAGTCTGTTTTACAGATGGGAAACTGAGGCTCAGAGCCCTGAAGGGACAGTGTCAGTGCCAAGAGCTGGCTTGGTGGTCTTTAGACTCCCATCTCGAGCCTTTCCTCCAGATGAACATAAAATCTAAACGAAGTCTATGTGCTTCCCATATAAATGCAGCTTCAGAACAGGTCATTATTCCCTCCTCAGATCGACACACCCAGGTCTTTTCTCTATAGAAAAATTAAGGAGTTGATCCTGAGAAAGGACTTCTCCAAAGCCGTCCAGTGAGTTTGAGGCAGAGCGGGGTTACTGCCATCCTGTTTCATAAGGGCCGCCACTAAGGCTGAGGAATAGTTTAGGGGGGAGGGAGGGAAGCTGTCTGGCTAGATTTGAGGTCCGGATGCCTGGGGCGAGATTCCTTGGGTGCTGAATGGACTGTCAGCGTCATTGACTTGTACTGTCTGTTCCATGAATTCCCCCATTCTTGGTGGCAGGGCTGTCAGGGAAGGTCAGCGAGTCGTCACAGTCCACCAGCTTTGTTTGCAGAGGCTGAGCTCCAAGGATCACTGCCGTTGACACCAAAGTCCAGGAGGGCAGCACTCCCAGCTAAGGACCTCCTACGTGGAGGGAAGGAATGTGTATTGCCACCAACCCTGTTAGTGCAGATAGGTGGCTGCCTTCCTCTCTTTCCCTCCCTTTAGGTGGGAGTGGAGGCGTTAGGTTGCTCAAGGTCTTGTCACCCACCACACAGGAGTGCCTTTGGACATTTGGGGCAGAGTAATCCTTAGGTTCTAAAGAGGCAGCCTCTACACCAAAGGGGCTTGAAAAGTTTTTAAAAAGGTTTGGTTATCCACAAATTCATGTCTTACATTTTGCGGTGTGAGAGCACGAATTTTAGCGAAGCAAGGGCACATCCCAGGCCCTTGCTTCAGTAAGGCCCTTCAAAGGACTGGGCCTTTACAAAATTGTAGGAAACTAATGAGTTTTTCTTGTTTAACCGTATCAGCATTTATATATATATATATATGTATAAGTGTGTTTTCTGCCTCAATTTTTTGAGGAAAAAAATATTAAATTTTGAAAAAAAATATTGGACCTTTCCAGATTGTAGGAAATGAATGAGTTACTCATCTCTCTTAACTAGAGGGGACTTTATACCTAAAAATGTATTTTCTTTCCATCTCAGTTTTTTTTGGAGGGGGAATAAACGTCATTAAATTTTGGGGAAAAAAAGCATAAAATCCCACCAGACAGTTATTTTTAATTTATCTTTCCTTCCAGCTCCTGCCCATATGCCTACACATTTTTCACATAGTTGCCATCAAAGCGTGTGTACATATTTTGGATCTTAATTGTGCTTTCTCAGTAATGCTCTTAGTATTAAAGAAAAGAGATAGCACTTTCAGAAAGTGCCTTTATTCCCTCCCACAGATGATTTCCTTATACTGGGTGGACCTCCAGAAAACAGTTTAAGGGGAGATTATGATAACACTTTCAGTTGGGAATATTATGGTCTTGAGAGTGAGTCGATGACATTTTAATGTTTTCTGTAATGAACGTTAAGAACTGTGAAGAACTGGGAGCCCCTCTGCAGCAAAGAGAGGTGGTGGTTGATTTAACCTGCTGGTCCCGGTGGTATCATCAGCCTTTATTTCAGGATGAAGGCTGTTGCTGAGTGTTTCTGTTTGGTTATACGTTGGCAATCTGAGTAAGTTAAGGTCAGATTGCTTTGAGACAGATACGTTGTTGGAAAGATGGTGTTAGAAATAGAGTGTTGGGGGGGTGGCATTTGGGAAGAGTTGCGCCCAGAGGTTAGTAAGCCTTTGTTGTCTTTGAGGAGGTGAAAGAGCTCTGGGATTTTGGTGGCCTTGAGTAGACCCTAATATTGGCCACTTACAAAGGGTGGGAAAGTTAAGTTTTTGTACTCCTTTTCCTTTAATTTAACTCCTCTTAGGCTTTGATTTTTTTTTTTTTTTTTTTTTTTGAGACAGAGTCTTGCTCTGTTGCCTAGGCTAGAGTGCCGTTGTGTCAGGCCACCTCACAGCAACGTCAAACTCCAGGATTCAAGCAATCCTTCTGCCTCAGCCTCCCGAGTAGCTGGGACTACAGGCATGCGCCACCATGCC